GTGCTTACTGTGTTTTACTTATTGCATGTGTTTTTATGGAAATGTCGACTGTACCGTTCTCGTTGGGAACGGGATTTCCGGGTTCAACCCGGGCTACTCACTAAGCAGTTGTGCTTAGCCCTCGTGGTTTATATTTTTTTTAGATCACGAGGATTACGCCTAGCGCATCCGGCAGACGACGACCTGAGAGAGGCAGCATCATGTACGGGATTTACATTTTGGGTGACGAGACTTGTATTTCCCGCATTTTGTACGGTTAAATTATAACTATTCGGACATGTGTTATTTTGCGATACTGATCGCCCGTTGTATTTTCCGCTGTTTACTCTGGTTTATTTAAAATGTTTTTGGATTTCGTATTTTTGCTTCCGCATTATTATTATTTTATTACTATTGTCCATGTGGCATAACCCGTATACTGTACACGGGTTACGGGTGTCACACGGTGTCTGAGAAAACTATCCGATGAATGCGTTCATTTCTTTCCTTCCATAGTAGGTAACAAGTGATCTGCCAAAGGGCAATGGCCGTCCATTGACGGATCTTACAGCCTTGGTTGGATGCCAGAACCTGCAAAACATTTTGCCAGTATGGGGAATCATCTATGGACACAAGTCTACCCAGGGTTCCTCTAATCACCATGCTAGAGTAAGAGCATTCGAAAAAAAGATGGCTTCGAGTTTCCTCATGATCCCAACAGAATAGACAACCCGAATCCACAGCAAGACCCCAAGACAACATCCTAGATCTCGTAGGACAACGATCCAAATGAATGAGCCAGCATGTAAAAGCCACCTTTGGTATATGTTTCTTATGTCAAACGAGATTTGGCCAACTCTCGGAGAGAGTGTCTTCCAAATCTCCTTCGCTGAGAAGTGATTAGATATTTTCCCGTTGACCTGCCATACAGTCTCGTCGGCCGTATTATTAAGGGATATAGATGCGAGATGTGTGGCCAAGTGCTCCATCTGATCAGAGCGCAGAGGTGCGATGCGTCACACTCCTCCAATACAAATTATCGAGACAACCGCATTGAGAGGCACCCCTAATTGAGTCCTAGATAGGTAATAAGAGGGCCTAGTGGTGTCCAGGGATCAAAACCAAAATTTCGTCTGACAACTATCTCTAATACAGACCACAAAGAACCGGGATGCCCATGGACGTAGTTTCAACAATTTTCTAAAAGCCCATGACTGCGATGGTTTGGTAGTCACTGACCAGAAAGTTGAACGGCTCAAATACTTTCGGTTGATCCATCCTACCCAAAGTGAGCCGGCTCTTAAAAACAGCGACCATATAAGCTTCAATGCACAAATGTCATTCCATTGCGATAGATTCCTCAACCCCAATCCACCCTCACTCTTCGGTAGTATAACCTTATCCCATGCTAACCTTGCGCCTTTAACTGGTTCAGCTTTCCTTTTCCATAGGATCTAACCAAAGCCAGCAATGAAGTGACAGATCCATCTGAAAAAGCAAGCAGATCATCCGCAAAGGCAAGATGAGTTATCTTCAAATCTTGACAACGTGGATGATAACTTATCTGATCCTGCTCCAAGGCTGAATCTAAGAGCTTTGATAATACTGACATGCTTAAAATGAACAAGTCGGGAGACAGAGGGCAGCCCTCACGCAAACCTCGTGAGCCCGGAAAGAATCCAAATAGGTCGTCGTTGATAGATACAGAGAAATGAGGAGACGTTACGCAAGCCTCAATCTGTCTGATCAGAATTTCTGGTAGCCCGATAAGATGTAATGTGGTGAGCATAAAGTCCCATTCAATAGAATCGAAGACTTTAGCTATGTCTAGCTTGATCGTCGCTCTCCTGGTAACTAACCTCGTGAGCCCGGAAAGAATCCAAATAGGTCGTCGTTGATAGATACAGAGAAATGAGGAGACGTTACGCAAGCCTCAATCTGTCTGATCAGAATTTCTGGTAGCCCGATAAGATGTAATGTGGTGAGCATAAAGTCCCATTCAATAGAATCGAAGACTTTAGCTATGTCTAGCTTGATCGTCGCTCTCCTGGTAACTCTCTGTGACACCCGTAACCCGTGTACAGTATACGGGCTGTGCCACATGGACAATAGTAATAAAATAATAATAATGCGGAAGCAAAAATACGAAATCCAAAAATATTTTAAATAAACCAGAGTAAGCAGCGGAAAATACAACAGGCGATCAGTATCGCAAAATAACACATGTCCGAATAGTTATAATTTAACCGTACAAAATGCGGGAAATACAAGTCTCGTCACCCAAAATGTAAATCCCGTACATGATGCTGCCTCTCTAAGGTCGTCGTCTGCCGGATGCGCTAGGCGTAATCCTCGTGATCTGAAAAATGTAAACCACGAGGGCTAAGCACAACTGCTTAGTGAGTAGCCCGGGTTGAACCCGGAAATCCCATTCCCAACGAGAACGGTACAGTCGACATTTCCATGAAAACACATGCAATAAGTAAAACACAGTAAGCACGTAAATAACAATCACAATCACGCCCGTATGGAATCCACCATAAGGCTTAGCCATATACCCTGGTCAAATCCATGACCAGGAGCGAATCCACGCC